CCGCCGGCGTGTTCGTCTCTGCAGACTTCCATCTGAGGACCACTGGTGTTGCCATCGGCGGACCACCAGTGGGGGACACTAGTGGCTTGCGTGTAGGATATTTTATTCGCATACATAAGCTTATTCGAAAATTGGAAAAGAAAAAAATATTATTTTTCATATGGAAAATAGACATTATGATAATTTATTATTTCATGGTTATTCCTATATATATATATATATATATATATATATATCGTTATATATATATATATATATATATATATATATATATATATATATATATATATATAGGATAACGTTATATATATTTTTATATATCAAGAATAGTTTTGAAAGAAAAGATGTATAACAAATTGGTAACAGTTTTTGTAACATTTCATCCGTTACGACTTCATCCGGTCACGTATAACACGTGACCGCCAAAAAAACATACACCTCCTGCACGTACTCTACACGGTTAAACTACTATGTTGATGTTAACACACGGAAATTCACCACCCGTAAACAATATCCTTGATAATGGATAGAGAAGTAGCCGAAAGCGCTGGAAACAATTATAACTGTGGACAATTTCTATATTCTTTAACCACTGAAAAAAGAAAAAAATGTTAGAATGAAAGAAAAAACTCAATAAAAGATTAATTAAATCTTCCTTGTCGACTGTTTTCGATGAAAGATGCTTGAAAGAAAGATTGCTGCCCAAATATACATTATATATTGTTGTGGATTCCGGGTTGAAATCCGGTACCAATAAATAACAAACGCCAGGAATAAATATATGAAAATAATGTATTAACGTAATAACACAAACTGGTAAAGCAGGTTAGTAGTTCCAGGAATACGGGTTAGTAGCAAAATATATATACAGTCTTTGGTATTGAAGTATCGCTGTATGACTTCTTACTGAGTCTACGTGCTCGCTCACTGTGACTCCTACAACGCTGTTACCTCACCCTCGCTCTTCCGGTTACGTACGTTTTACTCTGTCACTCTGGACTCGACTCGACTCCGTCGGTCTTGCTCTCGACTTACTCTCGTCTTACTACTGCAGTAGTATATGTATATACTGGGTGAGTTCATTTGTATAAAAAGGGGTGGACCCCTCAATATATATATATATATATATATATATATATATATATGAGAGAGAGAGAGACGTGTTTTGAAATATATGAAGTTGTTTATCCGTCTGTTTGTGTATGCGTATACAAATATTGCGTATAATTTTGAGTTCAAGCAAATACAAATTTATGCTTAATGGCTACCAGCATATGTCATATATCTTGCCCAACTTCTTGTTTAATAACTAAAAATCTGATTTGCATAATTAGTTTTAAAGATGAAATTTTTTAAAAATAACTTTTGTTATTCATTTCCAAGTTGATCTTTTGTGATCTTTAGAAATTGATTGTTTTGTTACTGGTTTGTAGAATTAAACTACTTATATATATATAAATATAAATATATATAATTATATAAATAGTCATTTTCTGTTTTGGAAATGGTAACAATCTTTGCATTTAGATCTGAGCTTGGAAGTAAAGAGAAGTAAGTAAGAGTGATTGTTTTAATAGTATATTTTAATAGTATATTTTAATAGTATATTTTGAAAATCTAACAAAAATTTCATTTAAATTTTCTTCATAAAAATAATAAAATATATATCGAATTTTAAGACAAATAAATTTGGTTATTTTCATGAGTTTAATTAAAAAGAAAACGAATTCATAATCATTCGATTCCATTGTACCACACTTACCATTTCGCAACGGCGTTTATTGTCGTATTTGAAATGAACGACTACCGAAATGTTTAAACCTATCGAACTATTTTAATGACGACAATTCTGCTTAGGCCATTTTGCGTCATATGCAAATCTCTCAAACAACGCGTGACACAGCGAAGCTAAGAAAAGAAGTTGACCTGCGCACCGCCGAGTATTATTGCCAATGCACGCACATATACACACACACACACACACACACACACACACACACACACACACACATATATATAATAGATATCAAGAACAATATTGGGGAAAATGTATGACGAAGCGGAAAAAGTTTTCGTACGACGTATTTCGCCCTTTAGGACTTCATCGACTTAAATTTGTTATGTTGGTACGACTACGCACGCACGAACGAGGGATCCTAGGAAATTTTTAACTTTTCTTTTTCTTTTATATAAAAAATTAAAATACTAGGAATTTTAAATTTAATCTTTTTCTATATAAATGTATAAAAAAATTAAATTCATAGCATTCCTCGTTCTTGCTCATGTTTAGTCGCACCAACATAACGGAGTTAGTCCGATGAAGTCCTAAATGGCGAAACACGTCAGACGAAAACTTTTTCCCACTTTGTTATTCATTTTCCTCATATATATATATATATATATATATATATATATATATATATATATATATATCAACTGAATGATATCAGTATATTAAAACATTTGGATGTAATAATTAAAAACAATGGTGATTTTAAAATAGCTACTTTTATAAGTATTTTTCTAGCAAACTATTTCCGTCCATTATTGTCGGAAAAAGAATCTCATCTATACAGTAGAAGTAACAGATATAATTCCCTGTAGTCCATTGGTCTAACTCTTGAGTCCAAACTGAAGGTTTATTTTCAGTGAAGTAAACTAGAAAAAGGAGCGTATCGGACAAGTCATATCATGTTGGAAATAATGAAGGGAAGACCAGCACCTTTTTTTTCACTTACGCCAGGTCGAATTTATTGTCCTCACTACTCGAACAATTATTGTGTATCATGAATAACTTATACAAATACGAAATTGTTCCTTCGCGTTTTTGTCCAACCCCTGCTTGTTTCAACGAGGGCTGCTTATATGGTAAAAATAAATAAATAAATAAAAGCAACAAAAAACGAGAAAACGTTACTGTGGAGAAAAAAACAAAACAAAAAAGAATAAGACTCAAGGAGACAGAAGTTTACGATTTGCTCTTGTTCTTTTTATTGTCTTTTCTCTTTAGTAACATTTTCTTGATTTCCTTCACTCCCATTGATCAGTCACTTATGTGCCATGCGTGATACACGCTTAGGCAATTATGTATCTTTCGATACATGACTGACGAGGCAGATTTTTTTTACGCAAGTGGTTGCCATTTATTTCTGCGGTACACCAGTTGCTATCCGAGGCTATAGAACCCAATTTGTCCTGCTATTTACCCATAGCTGGAGGGAGAAGAGGATTCATACCTTTTCCCAAGAGTATTAGCACGCATGGAATTCGAACTCGGATAGCGGCTCCGATTCCCCAATCCGAGCCGCTATCCATTATGCCACCGTGCCTCCTCTCAGTGATCATTTGTGGTATTGGGATAAAATGGTTAAAAATAAATAAAAATAAAATAAATTTCAGGCGCTCCTCTGGGAATTCGATGCAGATCAGATGAACCAACAGAAAGGATCCGATGAGAAATCTTTTATAATGGCTTATAGAATTATTCAATAATAATGATTTTCGAGGTGATAAGAAAAGTCAGGGTTACAGATACACAGAAAATTTGTCTGCATCGTGGCTTAAATCTATATATAAAACTCTGTAAATTCCGTTAGTCCGTCCGCTTGTCACACCCTTTAAAATAGCCATACATTGAGCAATCGAAACCAGATTTTGGGGAGAAGTGTAAACAGGTAAGTGGGTATAAACTACAGTTGGTTTTACTAGCGTGTGTAGCTTCGTACAATAACTTTTCATGAATTTTTTGGAAAAATTAAAAGTTTTATTTTTAACATACAAAATACTCCTAGTTTAATAACAACTTAATGATTAAGATAAATATTTATTTAATAAAAATGCAACATTGTTTTTCTTATCTTTAAGTGTTTATATACAAGAATCCAGTATCCAGTTCGCCCTGCGTTTGCAAGAAGTATAAACAAATCACAAGGCCAAACGCTTCAAAACATTGGAATTTTGCTCCATAAAGAAATATTTACCCATGGCCAGTTGTATGTTGCATGTTCAAGAGTAAGAAATCCTAAGAATTTATTTTTCGCTGTTAAAATGAAAAAAAGAAATTGTCTTAAAAAATATTGTTTACCATGAAGTTCTATAAAATTAAATTAAAGAATCTGTCTATATTTCTGAGATGAGGTATTATGTATACTATTTACATTATTCGGACTATTGTCCTCATCTTTGTCGCCATTTTTATCACAACATTTCGGCCGTTCAGGTGGTTGGAGTGTCGAACTGAACCCTTTATTTCGTTCACTGGGGTAGACTGTTCTAGTTCCACGTGCCGTGTGTAATGGATGTCAGTTATCTCCTGTTAATTCCCCTCTGAAAGTTCTCCACTGCCTTAACCAGGTATTGAACTCACACTCTTTGGGTCCTGTCACTGGATCTAACTAACGCCTTTATCCACTGTGCCATGTGTCCTCAAAGAGTGTGAGTTCAATACCTGGTTAAGGCAGTGGAGAAATTTTAGAGGGGAATTAACAGGAGATAACCTGAATTTTTATCACGGGCATAATATCCTTCACTTCTCACTGACAAGAATCGGGAACAGAACTTTCTTGTATGAGAAAAATTATGGCAGCAAATCAACTCAAGGTAAAACGGATGGAAGTTTTCGTCATTTCTGTCCCCAAAAATGAAAACAGCTATCGAATGATACATTTCGAAGCATATTGGATTTGCATTCCATAGATGAATGGTATGAGGCAATATTTCAACATCAGTCAGATAAATAGATTTATTTAATTTTACGGCTTATCAACCTTTTTGAGGTTATTTAAAGCTGAAACATATTTTTGGATTGTAAGATAATAGTGATTTTCTAATACAAGTTTTACTATTTAACCCATAGCCGACAGGAGAAGCAGTGGATTCATACTAATTTCCCAAGGGTATTTCCATGTAAGTGAATATAAAAAACCTGACTGGAATTCGAACTCGGTTCTCTGAATTCTCATTCTGAGCCTTTATCAGTTACACCATCTGTACATCTAAGTTTACAACACCTGGTATTTCTCGGCAATCCCCCATCTAGGTACTGATCACCTTCAACGTTGCTTAACTTCGGTGATCGTACGAAAATAAGTGTTTCAACGTGATATAGCCGTAAGCCCAGACAGATGAAAGATATCTTATAAATCCACACACACACACACACACACACATATATATAAGACATGTCTTATTGAATAATTTAGACAAGCTTTGTCTACTTATTTTTGATAGGACCCTCTCATATTCACGGACAAGCTTCTTAGTCTCCTTATTAAAGGAAGAGAGAAAATTACCATGTTGATACATATTCATTTATTCTGAGTACTTTCGACATTAGCACAAAATCGTCATTAGGGTGTTGTTGTTTTTTTCCGAAGAAAATTTGTTGTGTTCATCTGAAAGTTAAATTTTTTAATTGTGACGTGAGAAACGCTAAGGTTATGCACTGTACGATTTCAATTTAACGACGTAAATGTCAGGTGAGGTAAATAAGTTTGAAATGTCCATATGTAAAACAACAAAAAACAAAAAAAACATAATGAAAACATGCTGCCAAAATATACGCTATATATATATATATATATATATATATATATATATATCAGACTATGTGGGTAATTGAATGATATAATGAAAAAAATTTTAGTAACTAGTTTTGTTCCGAGAAGGAACTTATTCAGACTCATAACGGTTTTATTGATGAAATAAGTCTTTTATATAAAATGGGTGAGTAGGACAGGCTGAGTATCTTCTGTATCTAACGTTTTGATGCAAACTGTAACCGATATTTGTTGTATTTTTCCCACGTTTTTCTCAAACGTTTTATATATGACTGATTTTATCAATAAAATTAATATTAATCTGAAGACGTTTTTTTCTCGGAACGAAATGTGTCACTAAGATTTTTCCATTTTGTAATTCACTTACCATCAGTTTGTATGGTTATAAAATCTGCGACTTCACTAAGATACAAATAGCTATCTATTTATCTATTCATCTATTTCAGTTTTTATTAATATTTATATGGGTTTATCTTTTGACGACGATGTTTAAATGTCTTATATTTTACAAATATAGTGCAAATGCAAAATTAATATCCATTTATTTGCGATCAAAAATAATCTGGAAAATAAATACTACTGGAAAAAATAAATGATGTCATTTTATTTATGAATTTTAAAATAAAATTCTATTTCTACTAGGTCATCAGAATAGTACACCACATAGATGTTGTCAATTTATCTATCCATATGTAATAGACATAAAAATATGGTACAAACACGCCTGGCCACAATTATGACTTAATAAATGCCAGTCTGATCAGGAGAGAAAAGGATTCATTAAAAAGAAAATGTATTGAGAGTGCGCTGATCTCACAATTCTTGACGATAAACCTAAGACCAGGCTCATACATAATATCACCGATCATCGTGAAAGCAATAGTAGCACAATGCGGTAAATGAGATGATAGAGAGAATAACAGAAATCTACTCGGAATGGGCTAATTTCAAATACAACCGATATTAATGATTTTAATACAAAAAAAAAAAAAAAAAAAAAAAAAAAAAGAAAAATCCCAAAACCACGCAAAAAAAAACACAGTTATGTTCTTTTATTCCGACTGGAAGATGACAACCTAGCAAAAAGACATTAACAGTTTTAATAAAAATAAAAATAAAACAAAAAAAAAATGTTTTGTTTCACATTCTGACCTGAAGACACCAACCTAGTACACAGAGGAGAAACACGTTGTCATTAAAAAGTTTTTTCCAATTTTGTTTTCTCTATCTCCATACACACACACACACACACACACACACACACACACATCTATATATATATATATATATATAGAGAGAGAGAGAGAGAGTGTGAGAGAGAGAGAGAGAGAGTCCGCCAAAAAATGTATGCAAACTTCAGGAAATGAAAGCAATAAATCTTAATAAAAGATTATTAAAAAAAGAAGGGTTCATTGCGTAAACAAAGATATTACGGCGATTTACTAGTTATTGTTCCCAGCCTAATATGAAGTGAAATGAGCTTAAGGCAAAACGCACTTGCTTGGTAAGGCGCTGTAATATCTTTTTCATACGTTCTTATATGAAAGTCGAATCGACGAATTGACTTCAAATTTCTTTCGATTCTGTTCATTCACTTTGTACTAGTGCTATTGTAAAATATCACGAATCCGTATCCCCCAGATACGGGTTAAACAGCAGAACAGACTGATCGAACAGAATTAGACCTTTATCACTCAACATGACATTTCATCATATATGAAAAGGGTCGACCAGAAATCACGATGGAAATTGAAATTTTAATATTTTTATATTATTTATAAAATTATAAATAAATAAATTTATTTTATAAATAAATCCTTGCAAATCAACCATGAAACTACTGTGTATAATAATATATGATATTGTAAACTTAAAACAACACAAGAGTTATTAAATATAGAAACGCCTTCGTCACTTATTATCTATCTATCTATCTATCTATCTATCTACAGAGGGAGAGAAAGTTAGATAGATTGCGTTTTGTATATGTGGATATTTATACATATAGCCATATCAAACAAGAGTGCTGCCTATCGTGTAAAGGTTAGTAAAGTCATTGCGCAAATCGATTCGTTGATCAATACGCTACTATTCTTGATTTGAACCAGACTACAAAACGCTTTATGAGTCATCACATCGAACAATTTCCACCTGTGTAATCAGGAGTCCTTATCATAGGAAATTTGTCCTTTAAGTCATTCATAGAATTCATTCTTCTTTGTACGTTCTATGCAGATGTTTCTGTTCCAGATCTGTCAGTGTTCATTTTATGTTCACTTTAGTGCAGTGTTTTATTGTTCAAGATCGGGTTCAAATAGATCAAAATGGCATCAGCTGATTGACTATCTGTCTTGACAGTAACTATATCAGTTCGATAAGGTCAAATTGGCGGCTGATCTAAAGAATAAACGACAGTCTGTTGTTGACTGGAGCAAAATTGACTTGTTAATTTTAATGCCTCCAAAACAAAACTGCTCCATATTAATTATATGAGAGATCCCTTTCTGCCTTCCATCAACATGGCTAATTCAAATATCCAGTGGAGTGACTTGTTGCTCCTTCTCGGGCTAACATTCTCGGCTAACCATTGCCAGGTCTGTTGCTAAGAAAGTTGGTTCACCGTGTCGTATGAGACAATTTTCTCTCCATAATCTGTCTTACATATCTATAAGTCTACCATTCGTCCATTCATCGAATATTGTTGTCACATATGGTCCGGTGCTCCTGCTATATATTTTGAAATTCTTGATAAAATACAAAAAAGAATCAGCAATATTATTGGTTCTGAGCTTGCGTTTCGGCTTCAGTCATTCTCCCAACTTCCGTAAATTTGCTTCTATGTGTCTTTTTTTATAAATACTTTCATGGTAATTTAGATGAGCTCTTCGTTATGGTACCTAGATTTTATGACTTTAAGAGCAGGGTTAGATTGGCAACAAGGTCTCATCAATTTACAGTTGAATTGGCTAGATGTAACCGCAAGTTCTATGCTAACAGTTTCTTTTCTTGTACTTCCCGTTTGTGGAACACTCTTCCGGCTCCGTGCTTTCCAGCTAACTTTGATCTTCAAAAATTTAAATGCAATGTCAATAGTTAGCTACTCTCTTCCTGATCATCTTCTATTGTTCTTGCTCCTTAATAATGTTTCTGTTTTCTAATTCTTTCACTCTCAGTAACCACTTGCGTCTTAGTGGCTTTACTTTATTATTATGTTTGTATTTCATCTTTCATATAATCTCTTATTTAAATTCCTTGAGATTTCTCCTATGTATTCCCTGTGACAATTATTACAGTTGACAGTAAATTCTTCTTGCTATTTTTAGCTTATTTTGTTTTGCATTAATTCATTCATTGCTAAATAAGTATTTGTAACATATTTTATGCTAAGTTTAGATAAATTCTGTAGATGTGATAAAGTTGGTGGGTAGAACAGTATATTTTGATTCGTTGGGTTTGTCTATTTTTAAATATTTTTGTTTCGATGCGAATGTATCTGGACAGGCGAGGAACAAAGATGAACATCGAAACAAAAATGCATCTTTGTCGTGAGTATCTGTTTTTGTCCGTATGTAACATCTTTATAATAAATAACTATTGCTCTACACTTGGTATTAAGCCCTCTTTCAAATTAATGCTGTGAACGTTTGAAATTGTATTCTTTTCGTTCTCGTTACATTTTAATATATATATATATATATATATATAATTTTTTATTGAATAATTTAAACAAGTTCTGTCTACTTATTTTCAGTAGAATCCCCTCATATTCACGAACAAGCTTCTTATTATATTTATGTTGATACATATTCATTTATTCCGAGTACTTTCGACATTAACACAATGTACAGTATAGTATGGTCAGTTTGGCATCGTCTATGAGAAAAAGATCACCATGACGCAATTCACTCCGCCAGAAATTTGGAAACACCATGCTGTACTATTTGGCATTCGTGCCGGAAGCCTCTATCAGTGTGTTTGTGTGTCAATCTGAGGACAGTGCAAAGGATTCGGAAAGGGTTGGATGAATTTAATGATGATTACGAAGGTGTTTAGAGTGATCACTAATGATGGCAGCATTATGCCTCCATTAATCTTCTCACAGGGACTCTGACTCAACATGGAGACCTATTTGAGGAGGTATTGCTTTTCTGGGTCAAGAGGGTGGCTGCTGAATGACGCTAATGCCAAATTCACTATAATTGAGAGAATAGAAAAGTTCAGAGCAGATAACATTAGAAAGATTTTAGAGTCCCATGAAAATAAGTGGATACAACGTCTAAAAACAAAATATCCAGCCGGGCTAAATCATAAATTTAACAATACAGATAGTACCAATATATAAATCAACAAATCAAAACCTACCCACATTTCTCAACCACAGAAGACAGACATGCTTACGGAGGTGTGGAGGCCTCACACTTATACACTTATACACACACCCACACGAATATACACACTTACACGCATCATACTCACTCACTCCCTAATCAGCCAAATGATAACACACACCCACAGCAATACACACGCTTACACACATCATACTCACTCATTCCCT